ACACGCAAGTGTCAAACATTAAAATAGAATAGTGTTGCTACCCCTTCTTTACTCAATTTTTATGTTCCCTGGAATCTCTTATTCTACCTCAATAACCACTACAGAGCAACAGAAGGGACCTGCCTCACTCAAAGATAATTTTTTTCTAGGGGTGCAACATTCTTTGGCATGTTCCACATCATTACTGGATCTGAACACACATGCCATCTGTGTTGAGATATAAATATGTTCTAATACATAAGAGCAGATGGAGAAAAAGGGCATCCGTGCTTAACCAAGGTTCTCGCCCCTCCTTACTTGCTGCAAAGTCTGCAGTTAGATTGCCTACATACAACTACATGAAAGGAAAAGTATTTTAGGTAATAAAATACTGTAGAGGTGCTAAATACTTAACAGTAGTTAGGAATATCAAAATCCTCACAACATTTGCAAGGCAAATGCAAGCATTAATTTCCACTAACTGCCGTTATCCACTTTTTTGCACACCAACCATCCTTTGTAGTATAACCAGCAAGTTCTTTCCTCTAGTATGAATCATATTATGCATATTATACCTACATCTGTAATAAAAGGTAAGTTCACATTTCAAAATAAATATAAAATTTCAAAGACATTTTGAATGTTTAGTGTTTCAAAAATAGTGTCCAAAATGTGAGTCACCCCTTCATAAGTTGGGATTTCATATTCCCCATCATAAAAATAATTATATTACTTTATATAACACTACTTGTGTGTCCCTCCACATTTTTAAATTACTCTAAAGCCTACATAAAATATTTTGGAACTACATCTGACTCCTACCCCCATTATTTTCAAACTTTCTTCCCTCTATTTGCAGACACTATATATTTTCCAACCAAAGCCACGATCCTGCACACTGATAATAGTTTTTTTCTCACCTAGTCTCTGTAATCTCTATTAATAAAGTCTATGCCCCCTTCCATTAGTAGATTTGCGCAATCTATTTCGCCTGCAGGGATGTAGGGCTCCACAGTACACACATACTAATTTCCCAGGACCAACTCTGTCCCCATCCCAGTAAGACAAACCTGCAGAAGCAGGCTGGGTCTTTGCCAGACCACCAACCCTGATTCACCATTTATTCCTTGAGACACCAGTCACAGCTCAAGAACAAGAAAAGAAAGATTTGAAAAGCATTTAAAAACAATTATTCTCTATATTAGGCAGCTCAAAGTGTGTAAGACATTCTGTGCATTTCCTTTCCTAACTTTCCACCACTACTGAAGTATCTTTTTGGTTAAGGATCTTCTGCCTCACCTCCTTCTTGAATGTACCATCTCCTTTCAAAGATAAAGCCTCCCCTGACTCCTGAGGTGGGATCGCATGTAAATAAAGCTTCTCAAACTGCCTGCAAATGTGGACAGCAATTAAAGATAGTTAGATGCTCCTACACTAACGTAAATACTTATAATAGCAGTCACATCTTACACTCCAGCCTTACAGAGCCTGAAGTGCTGCCATCATTTAGTCAGCAAAACTTGTTAATTTTTAATTACTAAATTGCATATTCTTACATTTAATTATGAAACTCCACTTAAAACTTCCTGACCATTTGAGAACCCTTTGGAGGCCACAATCCATAGCAGAGAAACACTGTTCAACAGCAACCACTTGGAGACCTCTCTGTTACAACCTCAAATCCTCTTTGTCAGGCAGCTCCTTGTCAGGTAACTCCTAACAAGCCTTATCAGGTGATCAAGGTCTTTCACTAGTGACTTGCTTAACTACTATCCCTGGAGAGGAGACTTGAACTGATTCACTTGTCACAGTAGCCAATTTGTTATCCAAGAGAGCTCCCACATCAGCAGAGGATCACTGTAGTTTAATAACCCTCCATTATTAACCCAACATGATTGCAATCTGGAATTTCAATTAGAAAAAGAAATAAAAATGAGAGATAAGGAAGAAGGCAGATTAACACTGATATAAAAATGCTGGATATAAAGAGACTCTTTGTCAACATCAATTGGAACAATTTGTAAAATGGCCATGAGCAAGTCTCCCCTTGAAGCAAAACTTTTAAGAGTTCAAGGTATTACAGCTATCTGCTCATATAATCTAGGTATTCATGCAACCCAAACATCCAAAATCTGCGACTGCTTGCACGCTTATTTCAGTCACTTACACAGCACTCATGAACTGCAGCTGACTACTAACAAAAAGATTGTGGGAGATCCATTCTCTTCGCTTTACAACATTACAAATCATGAAAAATACATTCTTCTTAAAGTCTGAAAGTGCTAGAAATTGACCTTTTACTACTGTATAAAAGCCAAGCAGCTCTGAAAAGCACTCAAATACATCCAGGCTAATATTTTCACTGATCTCCACTTTCAGCTTGGAGAAAGCAGTCAGGCAGCTTCTGAATTGTCTCAAGGTCAAGATGATTCCTCTCTCAGAAGAAAAGCAAGTGTGCAATTTGCATTTAGAATGCTAACAGGCACCAAAGCGTTGAGAGAAACACCAAGCAGGACACAAAAAGTTAAGAAGCTGTCTTATCATGTAAGTTTTTACTGAAGGGAACTTGGCCATCAATGCAAAACACTAAGTGCTATAGCCAAGATTTTTATATACTGTCATATCCCTCTGTGCTAGCGAAAGTGTTGGAATAATATGCATTATTTGGTCATCGATTAAAAGAATAACATTTTTCTAGTCTGTTTGAAAATATGTGATTTTTAAAAAACAAAGCTAAAAGTATTTAACTAGAAACTAGCTCTCACCCCTAACTTCAGCAGCCCTCTGTTGCCCTCTCCCACCTCAATTACAGATTTAGAACTTTAAAAAAAAGTCATCACCAAGGGTTGAAATCAATTAAATTTTTTTTTAAATTGCCTGAACATTAGCTTCCAGTATTTACTTTCAGTCCAAGTTTAAACAGTCCTTCAACTTGAATTTTTCCTCTTTTTAGTGAGGAAAATACACGTCTACAAAATATTTTTCTTAGTTATACAATAAATATTTCTCAGAAGATTAAACTGGCTTATCATGAAATTTCATTAGTGATAGAAAGAAAAATCTTGGAGAATAAGTGGCATTTAATGATATCATGACTGTTAATGTCCTATAGATTTACATAACTCTTTGTAGTGTTTGAAAATACCAAGTTAACTGAACTATGCAGCCACATGCTTATGAAATTTGACAGTTTTAAAAGCAACTGCTGATCTGGTGTATATCACTTTTTTCTGTTCCCAGTAAGGGATCACTTAAAGCGGCTTGATTTTCAGAGAGCGGGCCCATGGCCCTTCACAAAAATCTTTTAAAGCTATCAACTTTGCCTAAGTGATCAGTCACCTAAAATCCTGACCATACAAGTAGTGGATATAATCATAAACGACTCCTCCCTTCAGCAAGGCTAACAATATGGATTTGTGTATTAAATCTAAGGCATACGCCAAACAAAGCCTAGAATTTTCCTCAAAATATTAGCGACAGCTACAATACACTTAACAAGCTTTTTCCTTCTCCCCAAAGCACATAACTGAGTGAGCTTTTGATTCTATGAGAATAAACAGAAAGTGAGGAGGAAAAAAGAAAAAACATAGTAATATTGAATGCTTATGAGGGTAATAATCCTCATCATACAGGATAAGGATTTGGTGGCACAGGGGATAGGGTAAAAAACAAAACAGAAAAATATTGCAGAATATTGCTAAAAAAGAGAAGGAACTTCACTAAAACCTTAGAATTGTCATGGATTAATACCACAGAATATATAGCCAAGGGAGTAAAGTCTCATTGTGAAAGTAGCCTTACACTAAAACGAATTTTAAATTTGTCTAGGTTAAAATATTTTATTAACTGCTCAGGACCAACACAAAAAGTCAAGCCTCTCATTAAATTTGTACACACAAACATCAGAAAAGATTGACTCAAATCTGTGTTAATCTTAGGAAGCAATGGTTCATCTCTCCTTAAAAAAAAAAAAAAATTTATCTACTGACTTATTGTAACACCTCTTATGTTACACCATGCCAAAAATATAGCAGACATGCTCATACCCTAAGGAAAGATTTACAGCTTGAAAACAGAGACTGGAGATTACCACATCAGTATTATCACAGTGTCTTAAGTTTTTTAATACACATTGAAGTCCTCCTAACAATAAACATGGGAAACTCTGGGGAGCCCTTTTATACATTATTGCTGAGATCCAATAAATACTAGCTTTGAAATTGGAGAATTGTCCAAGAAATAACTAAAATATCTGAAAGAGAACCGATGATGGGGATGGAAATGGGAGTTATGATACATCCAAGTCAGGACAAATCTCAGAATCATCCAGCATTGTAGCAAAAGTACAGTATTCACAAACATATTTTAAAGCCAAGGCGAAACGAGAGCATAGACCAAAGTACCACAGAATCTTCCACAAAGGCATATTTTTTCCTCAGTTAAAGCAATTTGCAAAGATACAGTATTCTTTCCGTGTGGAAGAGACTGAGATCTGGTCCAAGGATTCTAGTCTTAGAATCTTAGATTCTAAGGGGTTTAAGAGTCCACCCTTCTAAAAGGGAAGGGTAGAGGTTAACATACTGAAAAGCCTTTTGAATACTTCCAAAAGGAGGCAAAGTCTGGCAAAAAAAGCTCAATTTCACCCAGGGAGTTACAATTTTTAAACTCTTAAAAAAGTTTAGGAGGTCAAACTGCTTTCATTTATACTAGCATAAATTCAGAGAAGTGTTATCAATTTTACTAGAAAGAGACTGGATTTCTACCAGAGCAAGATGCTAGGTTTTGACCATGAGGTATTTTTATTACCAGTAATCGTACTAAACAAAAAAAGTATTGCTTAAAAATGAAGCATTTCAATATTTTTTTCTTGATATGAGATGTATCTATAATCAATATTTTCAAGTTTCATCATTTCATTTCTAAAAGAACGACTCCTACACAAAATTTTGTTGACTAAGTTCAGAAATGAAACTACATTACTACACAGTTTTCATTTCAAGCTAATAAATAGTCTATTTTACCCCAAGATTCCAACTATTGAGACGAGCTTCGAGGTCACTGTCATCCAAAGAAGTGGTTTTTTTATGATGATATTCCTGGAACATAAAAAAGTCAAAATATCAGAAGAGCTGACAGAGACATAGCGTAAAAAAGCTTTTCTGTAAAACTGGGCCATGCCTACATTGCACTTTCTAATAGTGTCATGACACCTGAGCTATCTTTAATTTAGATAACTCAGTTACCAGTAGAACTCTGTGCTAGGAAGGATTTCAGAGGAGAATAAACTACTTTGTCTCCTCGCTTTCTTGTTCTTTATCTGTCATTTCCAAAGCAGTGGCCTCCTGTACAAAGTGTGAGTTTACCAAACAAGATCAAAACACTGCATTCTTCAGAGAAGGTACTTATTCCAGAAGAAAAAAACCCCCAGCCATATCTGCCGTACATCTTGGAGAACTAATCCAGAACTCACAGGCCACCTGATCAGCCCCAAAATAGAAAAGGAGAGAAAAAAAAAAAAAAAAAAAGAGAGAGAGAGAGAGAGAGAGAGAAGAAAGGGGGGGGAGGAACAAATGAAACTGCAGCATGGCAGTTACAACACAGAGCTTAAGGCAGTTCTCTTTGCAAAAAGAGATTTCCCACATTCGATAATGACTGGTGGATAATGCTGCTCCGGGCGGTATCTTTCACAAAAAGTTTTTCCTGCAGTATAACATTAGCTACTGGTCATTTTTATAGTACCAAATAGGAGAACTGACACAGAATATTTTTCTTAAATATATTTAACTGAAATATTACATTAGTTAGAAAAACAGCACATAGGAGCAGGAATTATGTTCTCTCATTAAGTCTTGTTAGCAAGAAGCTTATGTGTTAGCATGCAAGCACCTCTCAGTTTCTTAATCCAGTCATTCATTATGAGCATACAGTGAATAGAGCTTTGACTTCAGGTAATCAACACTTGGTTGAGGCAGTTCTTAATGTTTCTTAAAAGACTCCCTGTTCCTCTACCTGGGCCTCAATCATGCCAGAACATCTGCATGTCACTAAGAACAGAACAAGATAGCATTTGTTCCAGCCAGCCAAATGTTCAAACTGTTTAGTAAAGCCAAAGAAGATTATTGACTTATTTTTATTCGTAGCTCTGCCACAGACTTCCAGGGCAATGTTAGACAATTCATTGTTCTTCAGTTCCATGTACTGTATTTTACTGTGATTACAGCTTTAAAAAGGACTTTAAGTGAAATAAAGCAAATAAAATCTATAATGACTCAATTCCAGATTTCAACTCAAGACCACTCTTTTCTTCACAGTAACTGTTCAATATGAAATTTTTTTTACATCAGGAAAAACAAGCAGAAAGGCAATAAAGAGAAGTTCAGTAAAATTGGCTGGCCTGTCTCTCTCCCTTTTTTTCTTTCTTTTTTTTAAATTATGGTATCTCGTTTTGTTTAAAGTACAATCATATACAACTATAACATACTGAGCCTAGAGCAGAGACATTCAACTTCTGCCCACAGGCCATTTGTAGCCTATCATGATATACCATTCGCCTTTGGCGGTTCTCTACCCCAGTGCATGGCAGGACACAAATTTCCGCAGAAAGCTGGAGGCCAGAAACAAGCTTCCAAGCACAAGCATCTGCACTTCATTTCCTGGCGAGTTCTCAATTGTGCCCAGTAAAGAAGAGCAAGAACAGTCTGTATGAATTGCTCTGGTGTCAATAGCCCACTCCCAGCAGCAATCTTTCTAAACTGTTCCTCCGACGCAAGCAAGACACACAGGGTGAGCAGAACTGCAACACGGACAACAGCAAACTCAGCGCTTCACGGAGGAGCGAGACCTATTACAGATGCACGGACTACGGTGAAGGGACCACAGGAGACAGGCCTCTGCAGTGCTGAAGACTGAACATGCTCTCCAGCCTTATAGTGTTCAAAGGGAAACAGCATCCTTGCTGATAGCACATTTTTCAAGAATAATTTTTAGTTTTGAATGCTTGCAGTTATACATAGCAGTAAATATTTTGGACTAAAAACAATTTTATATGAAGCCTGTTTAGTCTCCTTCAATCTGCCATAATCTTAACTGTGGAAAGTTTGATAAACGATAAAACAAACTGTCCAAAATTCATTCTTTCAGAGGCCAGCTATCATTAAACAGAGCCAAAAAAACAGCTAGGCAGTTTTCTTTAATCTACAATTGCAAAATACAAGATGATGTCGACACAGCCAGTTTGCCAAGTCTGGGCAAAACAATGCGTCAGACTAACTTTGCTATGCACTAAACAGAGGTCAACCACTAGGATGAATTGAGAGTATCCTATGTGAAATTCTTTTCCCCTGCACCTGCAGAGGGCAGATTTCGATAAGCTTCAGTCCTTCCTATTACTTTTTCCTAAATGTCTACATTCATACCCAGGGATCATGACTCATGCAATTAGAAATAACAGTTTTATGGGGATATATCAAAGCAATTCATTGAAACTAGAACAAGTTTTATTACAAAAAGAAGCATCTTACAGACAGTGGTGTGGATGGGTTATCTTCATCTTTCTGGTGAGGAGGACTCATAGAATGTGACCTTAATGTTAGCGTCCCATTGTACTTGAATCTTTCCCTGTTATTAAAAGGAGAGCAAGCAGAAAGAAAATAATTCATTTTCAACAGCTGGCAGCATATACTGGATCTTAATCTTATCTCTTTTAAAAGATTGAAAAGAAAATAACTGTCAAGATCTAAAGGTCAAAAATAGCAGGAATAAGAAAAATTGAAAAATTATGTTTCTGCAAATTTCTTATTAAAGACATGCTTAAAAAAAGTCTTAAAAGTCTTAAAAGCTTCGTTTTAAAAAAAAAAAAACAAACACACAGGAGAAAACAGGAAAAAAATCATGTACACCATGGTATTTCAACAGGTGTTCTTTGCCTCTCTCAGTTATTACATCACCCAACAACTCCCAACAGATTTTAGAAGAAATCTAAATTAAGTGAGAGGGCTGATTTGGGAGAACATTCTTGAAGCAAAATTGTTAAACTTATGAGACAGCGTAGGATAACGTCTGGTGATTCAAAGAAGAAAAATAAGTAAATAAATAAATACGGAAGAACACAGGGGAGAAGAGTTTGGGAAGTAAGCAAAAAAAGATGAGGAAGAGACTATGACATACAAACCTGAAAACAAGGGCAAGAATTTCACATACAGCTCAATAAAAAAAGGACAAGAACTTCACGTGCAGCTCAACTAAAAAGCAATGATTTAAAAGGCCAGCATGGAGAGCAACATGTCAAAGCAACAAGTCAAAAAGGTTATGTTAGTTGCATACCAACAGACCTTTCTTATCTATAAAACAGTGAAATAAAGGAAAACCAGTCTGGAACAAAACAAAAAAGAATTATCAAGTTTATTACATAGGTTGACATAGCAAAACATACAAAAGGAAGCAAAACATCCTTCTGTATATACACCAGTGTCATATTCACAAGTAATTAAAGTCTCCCGTTAGTCAATTCACCTTCCAACAAATAGCTACGTATTACTGAAATCAAGTCAGACTACCAAAATATCGTTCATTCTTTACACCAGCAAAAAAAAAAAAAAAAAAAAAAAAAAAAAGTAAGTTACAACAAAAGACTTTGAGATTGATTAAGTGTTTAGGAAGAGAAAGACAACTGTTGGATGTACAATATAAACGAGTTACTTCTAGGAAGACAAACAGAGACAAACTTTTCATGAAGCATACTGCCCCAGCTTTCATCAAAACCACAGGGGACAGTGAAATGCACCAAACACGAGCATCCTTTTCATTCTAGCACCTATCAGTGGATGTGTAATAACAATTACAAAGCCATAAATAGTTTAGATAAGCAAAAACTAAAGGGTAAAAAGATCAAAAGAAATAAAATAGTTCAGTGACTGCCGCTAGCATTCCACATCAAGCATATTTTAGCAAGATTTTATTAAAATTAATTTTGCGCAAAATAAAAGGGGACTCATCATTACCTGCTGGTAAATCTGCACTTTATCAGTCGTCTTTCCTGAACAATATTCAGGTTATCTAATAATTAAAATTCCAGTTGTTTAAAACAAAAAGAATAAAACTAAAAAAACCCACAGAATTCATGCTCATATCATTAAGAGAGTAAGGAATATCAGTATATTCTAAACCCAACCCCACAGAAGTTACCTGTAATGTCTTTAAGTTAGAAAAGAGGAAAAAGTAGTCCAGACATTTTTAGGCCTACGTTTTCTATTTTGAAGAGGGCTTTAAAAGGAAGTCACATTACCTGAATCTAAAAACAGACACTCTGAAAACACTGCTAAGGATGGGCTACAACCTTGTTCCTATATACTGCCCATTTACTCCCTTTTCCAGCCTTCTGCTAATATGAGTCAGGCCTCAGAAATCACAACATGTAATACAAGACTATTTCTTTTTATCCCATGGCAGCTGTGCGGAAAACGGTCAGAGTGTTCACATCAGCCCTGGTGCTTGTGACCTCCTGCTTCAGCCAAAACAGTGAACTAGCATGGGAGAAGGAAGCAATTTGCTGCTAATAAAGGAGATCAGTAAATAATTTCCTACTAGAAACAAAGTAAGGGAAACTCGCTGGCTCCTCCTGGAACAACACAACCATACACTAACCTTTAATAACATTCGCAAAGCGTAATCTATATCACTGTAGGAAAATTCTGCTGTATGTTTATAGAGTCAGAAAGGCCAGATTTCTGTTCAGACCTAATTATGTTATTAAAACACATTCGCTCATGTTTCAAAATAAAGATGTACCTTTCTAGTACCAAGCTTGCTCAGTCTTACTTATTTACAATCTAGTTTGCAAATAAGATCTGAATGTTTACTTTTTATTTAGCCAGAAAAACAACTTCCTATGAAAGAGCAAAAAAAAAAAAAAAGTCTTCATACATAGCTATATCTACACTGCAAGACAAAATAACTAACTGTGAACAAAACTTATTCAATAGTCTGTTTCTTTTAAAAAAAGACAATCTTGAGTTAAATAAACATCAAAAAATTACTCAAACATTTCTAATCGACATTATCTGTTTTGCCTTGAGAAAATGCTGTAGTCTAGATGGAATTCAAAATTCTCAAACTAAAGTATGTGTCTATGGGTACAGCTTTCTCAACTCACGTTCTCAATTATACAGACAAGTGCAATGTAATAAGATCACCATCTACTGGCCCTCTCTGCAAACTGCAAATTACATAAAATCTTAATGTAATTTGAATGTTTAAGCACTGACAGTTTGTTCAAAAGTGTAAATATAAAGTCATGATCTCTGTAATGAATATAGCTCACATTTTAATATAGACACATTTAAATAAGTATTAAATGAGCTATTTCCATGAACCATAACAGCTGAAATATTTACATTCAATATTTCTTCCTGCATAACTCAAATATAACAGTTTATTTCTATGTAGATTTATGTAATCCACAGAGCTATCAACATTTCTGATTATCAACATAAATTCAAATTTGCTTAGAAACAACTACGTTCTCTGCATGAGTGCCCATTAGTAGATGCGTGCCTATACTCATAGGTTTCACTTCCAGATTTCTTTAAGCCAGTAACATATTCATCACATTTACTTGCTTCTCCTGGCATGAAAGTATAGGCAATAAGGGTCTGCGAAGAATTTATACCACAGCCCTGGGAAGCACCTGTTGATCACCAGCATTATTGCTACAGTCCCACAGGACCAAAAACATAAATGAAATAAAGTTGCTCCACCCCACATCGCCACCACCCCCATCTTAGGGAACTCTGCCAGACCAACCTGAATTTTAGGTTCAGATGCAGAAAGAGATAAAGAGTCCAATTTCCAATACTCTACTATATTCCAGGTAGAGAAGAGAAGAAACAAAATAGTAAAGAACACAAGACAGATAGTAGGTTGAACTTTACGTAAGGGGACAAGCACGTCCTACATTACGTGCTCATGTCCTACTCAAATAACATCCCAGCTGACAGTACAGTTCAGAACTAGGTGTATTTTTATGCCACAAACGTGGCCCTGGAGAGATATCAATAGGCTAAACTGGGTATTAGAAGCAATAAAATTACAGTAGCACAACTCTCCACTATTAGTCCCAGGGCGTCACTTTAACACGATGCCGCTACTTCCAGGTACCGAGCCAGTCTGATCAGACCTATGCCATGTAAATCTTGACATGCCATAACACTAACGCGGATTTCGCTCAGGTCTCAAAGAGCACTTCTAAGGCAAACAACTTCCTTGTATTAACGCAACTGTAGACTGACTGGCCAAACTTAGATTTTTAACACGGGCTATTTAGACAGTTCTTCCAAACACTCCTTTGTATTACCAAGCCTGAAGTAATAATATGGTAACGTAGCTGGCAATTTCAAGCATTGTCCAGCTTTCTTCCATCTAAAACACAAGTCTGCTATCAAAATCAGAAGTCCGTTCCAGAGCATTTCAGCGTATGCAACCAAAAGACCCCTTACTATTAAATGCTGTAGGATTTGGAAATAGGACATCCATCAGTCCTATGAGAAACTTTTTAAATGACTGTTAGAATCACACATAGTTAATGGATACCTAGCAGCAAAACTTTCAAGATACTCAATGAGAATGTGACATAACTTGGAAGAGTGCCTATCTGTCATCTACCCAATTCACAGCTGGACAATTTAAAAAGGAAAGGCTTGGCATCATGACAGAAGGATGCATAAAGCATACAGCAAAAACATCAATGTGACTAAAAAAAATAACTAAATCAATGATAATCACTTGTGAAAAGTGCAACATGTATACTCACCGATTCTGAAAGTGTAATTACTATGAGTATGTTTACACTTAGAGCAGAACTCCCAGCAGAACTGAACAACAACAGGAGTTCACTCAAGTTTCAACTCTCCCTGCTGACATTGCATAGGCATCTTTCAATTGTTCCAATAGCAGAAAATATCTAAGACTAGATACGATACTGAGATATGGATACACAATCTAAAGTGTTACAAAATATGTTTCACCTACTAAGAGATCTAAGGGAGAGTTAGCAAGAACACAGTTAAGGGGGAAAATCTTAAGATTAAGGAGGTTTTTCAAAGGACACAGAAGTGGCTGCAATAAATCATAGGAAGGCATTAAACTTCAGTGAGAAATTACAATTATTACTTACCATAAACACATGTAAAACAACATAAGCTTTTCTATATACTATTTGCTTGTTCATTTGTAAGTGTTTTTTTCCTAAAACTGCTTGGAAGTCCTAAACAAGTCAGTTGATACCTCACCTACTCTTTAACCTCCATACAAATACTTATCCAAAGCCTGCAGAAGGATAAGAAGGATGAGAAAGCCTTGTTGGCTAATACTTGTTACTGTAACAAAGACCTAAGTGAAATGAGAGCCATCTGATACGATAATCATCGGTTTTCCAGGTGGTTATATACGGTTTTTGAATGTAGGCTAGACAGTTTCCTATATTTCCTAAACAGTAAAACAAACAGAAAAGGAATGAATAATTTCTCACACAAGTTTGGTAGGTGGAAAAATGTTGCCCCTTGACTTCAGTAAGGGACTGTTTCTTTTTCCAAATCTTTTCTTCCATTTTCTCCTTAATTATAAGCATTTGAAAGGAGTAAGAAACAGAAGTGCTTTCAAAAAGGGTGCTCTCTTCTTTTGCAATGTCTTCAATTCACCCCCAGAGCAAACTTATGTATTTACGATAAAAGGAAAAAACCATATATGAACATGTAAAAGCATTTAAGGGAACACAGAAGAGCATTAGACTTTTGAAACAAAAACCTTTTCCATATTTATAACTCAATGAAACCAAAACATGAGTTTCATAGAGAGGCAGAGAGAACACTTATTTCCCTTGTACAGCGCTTACTGAATTATGAGTAATATTCATACCATACCTGTTACAATGCTTTCTTCCCTAAGCAATTCAGAGAATTTAAAAATTAACTAAGCTTCAAAACAAGCAAACACTTGGGCAATTCCCTCCATGACTGAAATGCAGCCACATAAATAATGGAATATAGATATTGATAATCAGTGAGAAGTAGCACTGCATAAAGAAAAAAAAAAAGAGAATCATGTCTAAATGAAATCACAAATGAAATATTTAGACACAGAATGCAGACTAAACTTAAATTTACCTAAGAGTCCCCCCCAAAAAAAAAAAAGAACAATAAAAAGGCTCAAGATTTTCAACAGTGTCTGCTGACCAGCTGGACACATCTTCAGTTCTGGAGGGACATTTTTCTAAGCCAACAGGTAACTAAACTTTAATATATCTGATATTTCATGTCTTTACTTGCTTTGTAAAGCAGATGGAGAAGGAACGGTCCTGCCCTCTACAGGGCTGGAAGCATGGCTATAGCTTAAGCCTGCTCTCTCCTGCAAACCTACAAGAAAGATTATCCAATGGATTAACAAAACAAGATGCAGCTGCAGATATCCCTCAGACAGGGATTGCTCAGACAAGGACCACATCACTGCAAACAGTTCTTCTCCCACTGGAGAACAAAACAACATGGTAGAGTATCCCACTGACAACGGTCCTGATTTTTAGTTACACCTGTCAAAAACTTGTCTGCCTGTTCCAATCTGATTTTCTCTAATCTAACATTCATGAAATTTAGGAAGTATATAGAACATGTAAAGAAATCTTGTTATTTCATAAAGAAGCCATGATGAAACATAGAACAAGCATAGATCAATAAGTGTTTAATAGTGACTAACAGACTTTTAAGGATTTTGGATATAAAGTGAGCAAATATTCTGTCAGGTAAATATACAGAAGCCAGCGAGGCCTCATAAAATTTTTCTATCAGGTCCACAATATATTTAGGGCTACGAACGGATTTACTTAAAGATGACTGAGGGCTATAGGTTTCACAAGAACTAAATGTAATTAAGGTGATGACAAACAGAGGAAAACAAATGACTTCAGCTTGTCCAGCGTCATCATTAGGGCTGAAAGCTATTTAAATACAAATGGCATTTAAGCTATGAAAGCAACTGTTTCCACTGAAGGAAAGAACAGAACTTGTTAAATAAAAAGAGACAAAAATAATGTGCAAACAGAAGTATTTCAGAGCTCTTTAAAAAGACAAGGGCAGTTTTAGTTATTTATACAAGTTGTTTGCAAGATTTAACATAACTTCATGGATGTTTCCAACCTACATGAGCGACCGCAAACATTCTGCATATACAATATACTAAGTTAGTAGATATAAACAGTTCTGCAATTACCATTAAGACACTACCATTCAACTGGGAGTGAGACTGTGCTTTTTCTTAGTAAAGATTCTGAATTTCTTGGCAGCAGTGCAACTAAACAGAAAGTACTAAAATTAAGAACCGTCTCAATCTAACCTACATTAGTTATCTCTACAGACCACCAGAGGCTTTTATTCTTTCAAAAGGTTACTATGCTCCTACAAAGATGAGTCAAATCCACCTCTGTTCCTAAGCACCTTTATCTTTTCTTCCTTTGTCACCAAACAGCAAAACGTGCTTCTTTCAGGGAGTCACTATTCAGTTTCCTCTAAAAACCTGTGACTGCAAACGTTCTTTAAATCTACCTTCTGTATGCTTCCTTATACTTTTAATCTCTACAGAGAAGAGGCTATAAAAAAAATTTTGATTTAAGAGTTCCTTTCAGCATTAAAGCCTTAGACTACAACTTTTTTCTTTGTATTATGTACTTGCTCTCCCCATATTTCTTGTCATTCGCTTGCTTTGTGTTCCATTTATTTTAAACCATGTAGAAACAGTGGCGATTAATCTACCTCAACTTCACTAATGTATTTCACTTTCCAGCTTCCATACTGGAAGGAGCATGCAGAAAAGAGGTCTGCACAACAACTCCATGGGGACAGTTACATCTAAATATAGTTTTAATCTACTAAAAACAAAACAAAAAAAAAAACACACACTGGCCTAAGAGTCTTCTGCACCTACACAATCTTTTATCACGTCACTTCTTCCTTACTGCCTGCCCACACTTGTCTGTGCATCCCTCTACCATTTCCAGTAATTTTGTATGAATTGCCTTGGGACCACTGTGCTTTGCCACCATACTAGCTGATATAGCATTACTATGAAACGAGAGAAGCATGAGGCAAAAAAGCAGAAAGAGATAAGTCTTGCGTTAGCAAAGGGGCTCTTTATGCAAGTCATGAGTACCACCACGGTAATCACCAGTTCAAACCATTCTAAAGCCTTCTTTTCAGCGGCTGCTAAGTTTGCCAAACCATCAGTTTGCCCCAACAATTTTTTGTTGCTGAGCATCTGTCTAACTGAAAGGGGAAGGAGAGCAAGAGGAAAGGGAAGAGGATAGGACTACGCGATACAGAAGAAGGATTACAGAAGCAACAGGAGAAGACATAAAGAAGGAATCAAATAAGAACAGAAAAGTAGAAAAGTCATTATTAAGTTAGAAGCTATTACCAAAGTTTCTGTATACAAAGTACAAATACTATATTTGAAATAGAGTCCATGACAGAGTGTAATAACTAATACATATAAACTCAAACATACAAATAGAGCTTATCAAATCAAATATAGAGCAAATACAAAACAAATACCAAATAAAGTCAAATATAGAATCCTACCCATATGTTAGTGGTGCTGCTAAAGATGATTCCTCTTTAGAAGATATCTTCCATGATTCCTCATGCTTAGACTCACTTTTTCCTAGTTCTCCCATTACCCAGTCAGGTAAACAGTCTGGGCTACTACTCCGCGCTCTTGTTGAATTTGGTTCATCAAAATAAATTGACTATAATTAAAATAAATACAGAAAAAACACTAGAAGATATTCACACAAATATATTCTTTATACTATTAATGTCACTTGCTGCTGGCACATCAATACTATAAAGACAGCAATTTTTTCCCCATTAAGTCAATGGCAGCATGCAATAGTTTCCATTTCTATTTCACAGCAAATAGGCCTTGCCTACACGTAAAAATATGTACAACAAGCAAAAAATGTAAGTGCCTTCCTCTACTTTACTTCTTTCAGTATTGGCAATCTTAGCATAAGTTAGGACTGATTCTATACTATTTCACTAAAGCTGAAGTCAGTGTTTGCCACAGTTATGTTCACATCTCTAGAAAACAAACTACAAGCTTGTAAATGCTATTTACCATATGCAGTTCTACTCAATTAACTCAGAACTTTCACATTTATACCAAACCAAATAATCAAAAGTACTTTCAGAATATATTTAAGCAAACCTATCTTGTAAAGAAATTACACTCACCATATATGAAGGTAAAGTTTTCAGTATCCCTGGTTCTGGTTTATGAGTAAAAGGACCTTCTAGTACACCTCGTTTCAGCATGTGCAGCAGAAGTTTTGCATGTAAGTTCCGATTCTTCCTACCCACAATTCCTGCACCTGCTCCTGAGGGTTCGCATAGTTTTTTGATCCACAATGCACATCTTTGACGTTCTAAAAAACAGAACAAAAAATTTTATCATTGTTTTTCAGAGAAAATTGAACAGATAAGAACAACAGAAGCCATTACAAGGTATCGTTTCTGCAGATAACGTTTCCCTTCTACCAAGAAGTTTAAAGCAAAACATTGCTTTTTGCATTCCTTTTTGTCATGGGGTGTTTTGTTTTTTTTTTTAAACACAAATAAATATTTAATTCAACACAACTAAATATGTACATGACTTACAGACAGACTTTCCAAAATAATTGTATTTAACAGGTATGATAGTTTAGAAACAAAGTACTAAGAGATATGTGCAATTCTCATGTAATTCTTTGAGAAAACTTTCGTTACACTTACAAATACTGTAACATACACTTCATTGTGTGCCACTTTGTAGCTTACTGTAAGAATTAAATTATTTTGCCTTAAGGACTCAGAGTCAGCAATCAGTGACTAAGGAAAGACTCTGATACAGCTAACTGGTTTGTGAAAGTTTTGTCTTCCAGGAAAATAGCATCTGCACGTTTCATAGGACTTAACAGGTCTAGCAGAAAAAAAGGGACTAAAATAAAACAGACTTTATGTTGTTCTATCTAAATCCTCCATGCCTAGAGACAATAGCCATCTGATCCATTCCCAAGAAACAGAAGCGTCGTCAGTACTTTCATGGAGGCCACGTAAGGTGTCAGATGTGCAGCTAACTCAGGAATACTGGCAATTGCCTATGGCAAGGCCGATATATGCTAAGTCTATTAATTAAAAAGTGAAGTAGATTAAAAAAAAAAAAAGTAAATGTTTGCTGCTGAGCATTAAGGAAAACCAAATAACTGAACCAAGGGAAAGAAACGGTTAAGTATCTAGATTAAACAAGTCTATAAGAGTACGTCTAATTACTGTCATCCAGAAACATTTTCCATAGATTCACATTCACTAGAAGTTTACACAACTTAAATAGTATAGAAATAATAGACCATTCTTTTCACATGCACTTCCAAAGAATATATTCCTGTACTTCATCTTCCAAGCTTAAAAGTAACTGTTACATTAAAAGTAATAAATCATAGATTCTGATCTGAAATTATACGAAAATCTATCACTAATTACAGAACCCACAAGTCACCAAGAATTCTGAACTCCTACAAGTCATTAGGAACAGACAGCTGTCAGCTCACTGCAAGGCGATCTCTAACTACAAGAGACAGTTTGCATGAGTGTTAAAACTTTATCACATAATAAATCTTCATTTCATTCTAGAAATCCCTGTGTACCCAAGCATCACTATTATAGATAAGACTACTCACATGATTAAACATTTACAGAGCATGGTCCTCAATTTGTACCTTACATGCCTTTAATATTATGCAGCTTGCTTCTAATCACTAGACTTATAAAATAGCACTTATTAATTGCTGTTTTTATTATCACAAGTTTCAGAGCCAAACCCGGTCCCTAAAAAAAAAAAATTTGCAATTTTGTAAGTGGTCAAATCTCACAAACAATGCCTTTTGGAAGCTTTTAGCTTCCACTGAATTAATGGAAAAATCCACAGGAATTAATATAATTATGCAAAAGCTCATCTACATCGCCATAGATAAGCTCAAACAGCAGCAACAAAAGGAACCTTAAAAAAGACACACACATACACAAATAGACTTCAGAAATTGTACAGAGCCTCCCTCAGAACTATGCTTAGTAACACTAGACATTAAATATCTAGTTTAACAGAAGCGTTACAAGTACGCAGAATAATTGTTAGTATATATCATAACCCAGAATTACTATTAGTGTTTCTTTATATACACATTTTAGCATATTTACCTGACCTATGCTGCAGTCTTAGAACATGTGGCTTCATGTCTACAACACAGTGATCAAATTCTGCGTCTAGTTTTTCCCACGTTTCCTCTTCACCACTCATTTTGAAAGATCACGAAGCAACCTGCAAAATTATTCATATTTGAAGCAGAAGAGATAAAATGCCATTATACGTTAGTCTCTATCCACCTTAGGCTGTGCAAAGACATGCTTTGGAACTACACAGAAAATAAGGAATAAATATCTCAACGCAGTTAATTCACACAAAAATAACAACTCTTTGCAAACAACAGACATTCAATATAACTTTTCTATGACAGCACGCCTGTTTAGACTTTAAACACTCATGGGGGGGGGGGGAAAAACACAACAACACAAAAAGGCATTCAGTTACACACAACTTATACAGGAAGACACCGAAATGAACGTGTCCTTAAAAGTAGTGGGGTTAGTTTTTGTTTTGTTTTGCAGAAGGGGAAAAAAAAGGACAAAAAATATCAGGTGTGCTTCTAATGCAAGAGTGGCCAAACTAACACAGTGTCATCATCATTTTTAAAATGCAGAGTATTGAAAAAAAACAGTCAAACAAGAGCTGTTTATCCAAAATCACGTCATCAATTTCCCAGCGAGATGCATTTTTTTCATGCATTTTAGCTTGCAATCAGCGCGTTCCCTCGCGAGAAGCATCAGCCCTACAAACGCATACATACTTCAAGGCACCAGGCAGCCTGCTGAAACCATTCAGGGTTAATAAACAACGCAAAGATTAACTAATTCAGAACTAACGGAGGCAGCTGTCGTGCAGGCACCTTCCCCAAACCGAGGCCTCGCAGCGCGACCCTCCAGCATCTCCCCCGAGGGGCCAAAAGACAGCGCATCACGCACCACCCGCCTCGGGCCGTTAGTAACACTTCCGGCAGGGTGAAAACAAGTGTTTTCTCACTTCTTTCCCTTCAGGTGCTTACGTGCGGTTTTACTACGCAGCTGCCTAACCCGCCGGCCGCCCTGCGTCTGCACTGATTA